CTTTGCTTCCTCTTCCCTTTCATTCCTGATGGTTTCAATGTTCATCTAAATCACACAAAAAATGTCAATAAATATTCATTAGCGTTTAGTAATATGTGCACAGCAATACATTATAAAGAAGACGATACCTTCGCAGTATTGATGAGGTTTGGAAAGCCCACAAAGCTGTTTTGTGCCAGTTCAAACAGCTCTTGCCTCACAACCTCTAAAAGCAATAAAACGATAATAAGTTAGTCAAATGTACCAAATGAAAGATTACCTGCAAAGTAAGATTCGAGTATTATGGAAAAAACAAACAAAAAAAAACATGCCTGACACTTCCTTGAGTTTCTGGATAGCAGGCTCCTCCAGCTGTTTGATCTGCTTCTGGATTATGGACTCAAAAGTACTGTAGCTCACAAACAATGGCAGTTCTCTTCCACGGTACGTGCGCTCAAACTGAGACTCTTCTCTCAGAATGTGCTCTTTGACTGCAGTGCAATGAAAGTTAAGTGAAGATGTAAAATATGTTTTTTTTAATGACAGTAAAAAATTTTTACTTTAAATGTTAGAGTTACTTTATGTAGTAGCTTGTAAGCAACAGAGGGAATCTTAAAAACTGATGAATGAAAAAGTGGTTAATTCACTTACATGATGATCCAGAGTCTTTTATGATTTTCTCCCATGCTTCAAACTTATTTCTGAGTGTGAAAAAGATGCTGGAGTTGTATCCACATTTTAATTCTTCACCTTTGGTCAGACTGATAGCATCCTGTGTGAATGCTAACACAAGCTAAGATAGAACAGATTCAATTAAATGAACAGGATGTGTGTTTTCCAGGAGCTCGTATTCATTTTTCTTACACTTCTACTCACATCACTGAGAAACTTTTGTCTCTTAGTTGCATCAGATGGGGGTCCAGTCCTTAATTTTTTTAGGTTTTCCTGAGTCTGTTCCAGTTTCTTCTGTGTCTGCTCATCAAGCCGTGGCAGAGATTTCTACAAATCACATGGACAAATCACATCAAAGTTGGAGTGGGTTAAAGCTCTCCCCAGTGACCTACAAAGGTAAAACAGTAATAGGTATTCACCTGAATATGATGCACCAGTTCAAGAGTGAGTTTTTCTGCCAGTTTAGGAACAGTGGCCTGGCCCTCATCAAAGAGAGTCCTACAGCACAAGCAAAAGGTTAGAGTATAAGCAACACAGCCTAACACAC